AAAAGTATTATAAAGCTTTCTTACTTACTATTTTATATAGTACTAGGTTTAGGCCGCTAAAGATTAAATCTTTTAGCCTACTTACTATTTAAGCTCTACTTATAAGAAACTAAACTTATAAAGCATTTAATTATAGCTGCTTAAATATAAGTATAAACTAACGTTATTAAACTAAAAAAGAATTAAGTATACTTATTTTTAAAGACTAAGAATATAATTATTATTATATATAAAAGAATATACTTTATATATATTAATAAGTTTTATATAAAAAGAGAGAAATTTAAGAATTAAAAAGTAACTAGATCGCGGTATTACGTATAAAGTTATAGGTGTGTGTGTGTATCGCGTTTAAGCAAATAAAATAACTTACTCGTATTACCGCTACTATCTATTTAAAGTAACAGCTAGAAACGGTCTTAGGTTAAAAGTGGTCTATTACCGTATTATACACTAGGCGCTACTTTAGATTGAGAGAATCGCGAGCTTTTAAGGGCTAAACGGCTAATGCTTCACATTAAGTGGAAAGGAGCTTTCCTACTTACGTCGCTTCTAGTAGTTACCGCGAAGCATATCTTCGCTAACGAGCGTCAGACAAGCATTAATGCAGCCGACATAGCGAGCTAGCTAGATGAACCCTACGAAGAAACGGAAAAGCGGCTAACTAATTATCGTGGTTTTAGAAAAGCTTATAACTAGAGCTCTTACGAATATAGTAAATACAAGTGTATTGTGTATTGTATTTTATATTGTATTGTATTTTCGTGTATTATATTTAAATATAATACATTACATTTTAAAAATACCTATAAAAGTATTTTAAGTGAAAAAGACCCTTATTTTTTTAACTTGGATTTATAAGGCTAATTATAAGGCTTATAAGGGAAAGTTTTATATTATTAAAAAGAGCTAAATTAGCTCTTTAAAATACTCTACTTTTTACTATTATAAGTTACTATATTAAAAAGTTATAAGCAATTAAAAATTCGCCCCGCTTTACTTAATATAATATAATATAGTATAGTAAAAACTACAAAAAATACAATACATTTAGAGGTCTACTTATAACCTTCGCTCTCTCCCACCTAAAAGGTAATTAACCGTAAAATAAAAGGGTAATAGAATTAATAAAAAGCTTATACTATAACGTAAGCGTTATAAGCTTATATCTTATTAGACTAAGAAGCGTAATTTATAATAACGTTTAAATTTACGTTTAAATTTAACGCGAAATTAAGACGTATACCTTTTAAGAAACACGATAAAAACTAATAATAATAAGTCTATTATAAATTTATAAGTGAAAAACCGCCTATTAATTCTAGTATTACTAGCTATAAGGTACAGTTACTTACCTAAATAGCCTTAAGATATACTAGAGAGAATAGTATTATAGTATTCTAGCTATAATTTACTAGCGATATTTTATAGAATATGCTAGTTACCTAAAATTATCTAGCTTTAAAAGATTATTAGATATTAAATAAACTTAAGAATTAAAGACCTAAAACTAAAAAGAAGAAATCCAACTAATATACGGCGAATATAATATAGAAGCCTATTTAGGCCGCCTACTCAAGTATCTGCTCTAACCTTTACTAAATGGATTGCCTGCTTACTCGATAAAGGCGACACACTTTTCTGGTGAAATAGTCTAATGCTATTATAACGTGGGAGCCGAGAAAACACATTATAGACGTGGAAATGCTTAGTAGATTTAATGCAAGTTGGTAAGGTTTTAACGCGGGTGTGAATGTTTTGGGAGCGGGGAGCTTTAACATCTTCTACATTGGCATAGCCGTCCGTCTAAAGAGGATACGTGGGTATGCAGTAAGCTTCTTAGCCCACAACTCATAAGGAGAATTTAATCAAATGAGATATGTGGTGCTTATATTTGAAAGCATAGTTAGGTTAGGTACAGTTGCGGGACTAGTCTGTGCTTATTGTTATCACTGTATGTATTCTGTCTCTTTCAAAATATATTCGTTACCTTCTCCTTTAGGCATATAAAGGATATGGAGGCAATGTACCGAGCGAGCATTGGATGCTAATGGGGCGTGGCAGGGCTTCAATAGTAAGTAAGCGTCGTGTGGATGCCCTAGGGGCGACTTCTAGTACGGTCTTCTAACCGGTTAGGCCTCTTAAAGAAGTTAACTAAAGCGGCACAATGACTTCGTATACGAATTGAAAGTGTTAATTAAGGTGCTTGCTTTTAGAGATACGGACAAATAACAAACCAGGCAAGCAAAACGCCTTTTACCAATGCCTCCCATCCAAGAAGTCTAATCACGTCCTACGTGTTCTAGCGTGAAACAGTGAGGAACTCTTTCAGTTCGGAATTCCCAGGATCGGGATTATAATCGACGCCGTATATCCCTACATCCTCGAGAGGCATGCCCCCCAGTTCGGCTGTGATGTCAATCCGTCCTGTTCGCAAGAGTCATCCTTGCTTCCCTCGGGAATCATCTCTGGAGTTATGGTCTGCTCTGGCCAGGGTGAGATCTCTGCGCCGGGTTGTGATAGCTGCATATCCGCAGCGTCAACACCTGCAGGCAACGAAAAGCAGCAACTGAAAACGTCCGCGCGATCGAGCTGAGACCGCTCGTCGAAATGGAATTTTTCAACCTGCAGCCCATCCGCTGGCAGGCCCCGGGTCATTAGTCTTGGCAAAATGTAAGATAGATTATGCATCTTTTCCCCCAAACCAGGATAACACCTGTGTCAGACAATTGAGGGTCACAAAAGATCGAGTACCGCGAATATGGAACGGCGAGCTAACACCAGCAGATGGGACGTCAGTGTCACTTTGTGCTGTCCCGGCTTAGTGACAGTCGTTCACGCCACCGATAAAGAGCTACATCTTGCCTACCTTTCCGTCAAAGAGTACCTACTCGAAGAGAACCAATTCAATATTACGACCGCTAGCAGTTCCATTACAACGACGTGCTTGACTTATCTTACGGACATCAACGATAGCTATAACGGAATCAATTGGTATTTTCCAATGGCAAGATATGCGGCGGAAGTCTGGACAAGCCATGCTGCGTTAGCTCAGGCTTTGCAAAAAGTTTTGCTTGCCTGGTTTGTTATTCGTGCGTACCTCTAAACCCCATTGAGCTAATAATTCCGCTTTGTAGATATTAGTATCGTCGTCCTTGGAGTCGCTTAATGAGGCTGACTGGACTAAAACACCTTGCTTTGATGTTAAAGAGCCTTCATTAAGCAACCCAGGGGAACTAGGCTTCATAACGTGGCTCCGCGGCTGATCCTTGCCTTCAGGTGACTCATATGTCGTCTTTTGTGGATATTTAGTGTGAATACCACAGGGAGAAGGCGTGTGGGTGAATTGCATTTAAAACGTTATAGTACCGTTATCGCGTATGCATTTAAGTACGGCATCTGAAAGAAGCCATTCCTCATAGCTTTTAATGCTAGAATCTAAATGTTAATCTCCATTAACCGATGAAATCTTTTCATGGTTTCTTACTTGGAGTTTAGTGACAGATCTTTTAGACTTGCGATCGTGGATCGGGTTTAGTCTGCGACGGTGCGAGCTTGCTTTTTAAAGCTTGCGTGTCGGAATAAATTATCATCACTGTGACTTCCTACGCTAGCTGGTCCACGGGTCTTGCGACGCCGGCGCTTGTTGTTACCATCACAGGAGTTTGAGCATTCCCGTCCTTCCCTCCGTGTGAGCAACGGTGGCGGCAACAGAATGGAAACCCGTCTCCCCAAAAGACTGGGTCTCCGATTCGGGGCACCACAGGAGCAAGCCTTTATTTGGTCTCGGAGTCATTTTGGCGGTGGCTCAATATTCGCCATGCATTTCTTTAGCCAGGTGAAGGTCAGTGTTTGCACCTGGTGTACCTACCTAGGGGGCTGGCTGGCTCGTCACGCGTAAACAGAACTTGACATAATTTATTTTGATCCAATGGAGACTTTGCACGCCCGGGACCCTGTGAATCGGAACGAATCAGTTCGGCTGTGGAATGGTTGACAATTTACGAGACATGATGAATTATTTGGCTCTGCATAAAAGCTGCTAGCATCAATCAAGACCAGATGCTTCAACAGTGTCTGTATGATCATGTCATGATGAAAACATTTGGGGTGGTTTATACCTGGAGCATTTTTGTTGTTATGGTCCTCAAAAATGGCCAGGCCGCAGCCTCCAAATCACCGTACCAGGCTGCCGCACTCCACAACCCCATTGTGCCCCTCCGAAGTCCGGCCAATTGCATCCAATCAGTGCAAATGGTCAGCAAATGTGGACAGGCGGACACACGCAAGCCCTCCACCACGATTGACCGGCTATGCCGCCATCGGCCGGATTCTTACGGCCCGACGGAGCCCCGCAGTTGCGAGCATGTCGTCTGGCAATCAACGACCTTGGCGGCAGATTGTTTTTTTGATCCACGGTGCTTTAGAACGCTCTTGATTTTCTCAATTTTTTCTCTTTTGGAATAATTCTTGACAATCCAGTGTCTACCGCCAAATACTGCCAGCTGAAACCGTACAATCCACGATGACGCAACAGTACGTCCCGTCCCGGCACAATTGACGCATGTTATTCCGCGTTACTAACCCCGCCATTCAATAGATCTGTTCTGATGCTCGGCGCGGGCTTCGTGACTAGTGAGTATTTACTATCAATTTGGAACTTGGCGAGTTTTCAATGGCTGACTTGCTCAATTAGAGCCCACGCTCGATGTTCTGACCAAGGCCGGCATCCCAGTCACCGTCGGTACGGACTTCCCGCCCACCGCCGCGTACAAGTTCTCGAGAAAGACACAAAGAACCTCGACGTCAATTGAAATTCCCTTGGCTGACACTTATTCTTCTTTCCTTTTATTTGTACAGCTTGCCGAACTTTGAAGACTGCTCAAGAGCTTGCCGGCAACAATAAACTTGCCACACCAACGACGGTCGACGTCTTGAACGACGACGCCCTGGACGCTGAAGTTGCCAAGCATGACTTGGTTATCAGCTTGATTCCATACATCTACCATGTCAATGTCATCAAGTCCGCTATCCGCAACAAGAAGAACGTTGTCACCACCAGCTACGTTTCCCCCGCCATGATGGAGCTGGACCAGCAGTGCAAGGATGCCGGAATCACTGTCATGAACGAGATTGGCCTTGGTATGCTCATTTATTCTTCAAAGTTACATGTGTCATCACTAATCTTCGTTTTCCTGCCTAGACCCCGGCATTGACCACTTGTGTAAGTACACGGCCAGCTTGAGGGCGGTCCCAAGCATCACCACCACCACAACCACTGACGTGAATTAGATGCTGTCAAGACAATCGACGAAGTCCACGCGGCCGGCGGCAAAATCATCAAGTTTCTCTCTTACTGTGGAGGTATGTTCTGGGGAGGCCGACTTCCCTGCCTGGGTGCCCCACTGACAGCTAGCTTCAGGACTTCCAGCACCCGAATCGTCCGACAACGCCCTCGGTTATAAGTTCTCTTGGTCTTCAAGAGGCGTATTGCTTGCCCTGAGGAATGCTGCGTCCATCATACAAGACGGCAAGGTTTTCAACATTGCAAGCAAGGATCTAATGGGCACGGCCAAGCCATACTTCATCATGCCTGGTTTTGCATTTGTTGCCTACCCCAACCGTGACTCGACTCCTTATGCCCAACGATACAACATTCCTGAAGCTCAGACAATCATCCGTGGAACTCTTCGATACGCGGGATTTCCACAATTCATCCGCTGTCTAGTGCAGGTCGGCTTCTTGGAGGAGACGCCCATTAAGGCTCTCGAGTCTCCCATCACTTGGAAGGAGGCCACTCAGGCTGTCCTCGGAACCGCCTCATCCGACCCCAAGGAGCTCGAGGCTGCCATCATTGCCAAGGCCGAATTCGACTCACCCGAGGACCGTGACCGAATTCTTTCAGGTCTTCGATGGATCGGTATCTTCTCTGACGAGAAAATCACACCCAGGGGCAACCCGCTCGATACCCTCTGCGCCGTTCTCGAGAAGAAGATGCAATTTGAGGAAGGCGAGCGAGACATGGTCATGCTTCAGCACAAGTTCGAGATCGAGCACAAGGACGGATCCAAGGAAACCCGCACGTCTACTCTCGTACAATACGGAGACTCTACTTATTCTGCCATGGCGCGTCTGGTCGGAATTCCATGCGCTGTGGCCGTCCAGCAGGTTTTGAACGGTACTCTGTCTGAGAAGGGTATTCTGGCTCCCATGACTGCCAAGATCAACAACCCCATCATGAAGGAACTGAAGGAAAAGTACGGCATTGAGATGAAGGAGAAGACTGTCTTGTAAAGAGGTCATCCGAGAAGAAAAAGAAAGCACTTGCGAATTAAAAAGTAGAAGGCTTGGTTGAAAAGTTCATAGCCATAAAAGTCGATAGAAATGGCAAAATAAACGTACAAGTGTCATTACCACTGTAGTTCAATTGTTTCAAGGTGCTTTCAACAACGTGTCGAAGGGGATCAAAGCTCTTAACGACCAGAGGGAAGACGAATATCTTGAAATGAAACAAGGCCAAGTTCACATAAATCGTGACGGACGACCAAGGAACCATTGGACGAAGTGCTGTCCTGCGTAGTCAACCCACGCCACAACAAGTACGAGCCAAGACCTTCGCCCGTGCGGCGTCATCGCCAACAGATCGATAGACCAACAGGCCCGTTCTTTCGGTCTGTTACTCTGGGTTTATCGAGGCGTCAGTCTGTTGATCTTGGTTGTCTGGCTTGAGTAGCGTGTGCCGTCCAGATTCGTCAGTCCTCTTTCAGGTACTGGCTAATTACGCTTGTTGGTGGTTCACCTTCTTTGCTAATTGATGTCAGTTCCGCCATACAGAAAGCGGGGGAACACCAAGATTTTAAGGGTTGAAGCCTATTTCGCTCCTTACCTTGACTTCGGGATTGGAGTTCGAACAGCGGGTCAACGACCAACACATAGCGTTACTAGATATAATACTTGTACAATACTTGTATATTCTGGACTCAAAAAAAAATAATACTTGTATAATGTTATATAATTTGTATTAAAAAAAAAGTCAAAAAATAACTGAACGATATTATAAAATATATGACTTAAATATACAAGTCAAAAAATGTATATTAGTATTTCAAATTTAATATGCGCCTGTACTATCACGTTGACTAGTATTATCTTGTAGAGGCGTCTCACTTCTCATATAAAAGGACAAGAGGTAGAGTCGTATGATAGATGCTTTCTATTAGATTCGGGCAATATAAACCAATCTACACTATAGACCCTTGGCCCAACCAAGGCGATTATTGCCATCGTCGTAGACAACAAACGACGACTTGAGGGCAACATCACCAAAGATGGCCAGGCCATTCAGGCCGCGGTAGTATGCAATACCACCCACGCAGGTAGAGCCCTCATTGACCGCGTAGTTGATATCTTTGCCGGGGACAGTAACTCTTCCCGAACCAACGCCAAAGGTAAAGTCGGGCAAGGTCGTGTCGCAAGGGAAGATCCAAGCATAACCGGCATTGCCCGGCAGGGCAGCTGGCTCGGCGCTCGGAACAGTAGCCCAGTACGCTTCGACGACCGCCAGAGGGAGGATGAGAAGCGAGGTACCAGTGTCTGCGGTCCCGGTGATGGTGATGGTCTCGAACTTGCCCTTGCCGACAGCATAGCCGGTAGACTGGAAGAGCCGGTGGCCAAGATCGTCGGTTGACGCGGGAGTGTAGCTAATGGCGCCAGTGTATTGGGACTGGTCAATGTAGCCAAAGTTGTAAGAGCCCTCTGCATTTGGAGTCAGCGGGCCATGAGCGTACCGGCAGGGACACGACAACAGTCGGGACAAGAATACTCACTGGCTTGGTGTCTCAGCCGTACGGTGAAGAGAGGCTCGGAGAGCCTAGGCAGAATGTTGGAGAACCATGTTTTCTGCTTGTCTAGGCGGACTGTGTTGCCCTTGTCATAGGCAAGACCGAGGAGGCCCGAGTTTTGGCTATCTTTGCTGAAGGACTGTGACACTTGCTGGGCGGACTCGACGGCCTGGTTGTCTACTGAAACACCGCCTACGGTAACGACGTCGGAATAGACGATTCCGCGAGAGGTGCTGTTGTCACCGTAGCGGATGGACCAAGTCTCTCCCTGCAGCCTCTTAGCAGAAGAGCTGCTGCTGGGCTTGTAAAGCGTCTGGCCGTTGACCTCGTTGGCGCTGGTGTCACTGCTAAATACCCACAGATCGCTGGACCCCGTATCAAAGTCCAGGTTGAGCTTCTGTGGAGGCGTTCCAATGCAGACCTCGGTGAGATATAGTTGGTCAACGTTTTCGTCATTAGGCTCGGGAATGGTAACGACGGTGCCATTCTCTTCTCGTTCGCTCAGTACAGCAGACTCCAAAGCCGTTACGGTAGCCGGGTCGAGGAACTTGCGCGCGACATGCCGCACATCGTGGACGATATGACGATGTAGAGAGATGCGGGTTGTCTCAGCGCTAAACTTTAACCCCGTATTCTGGGAGGGAGCCGCGCAGGAGCTGTTGAAGGCGGCAGCCAGGAGCACGAGCGTAATGGTGGTCTTCATTGTTAGCGAGATACTGGCAGAGAGACCAGATGTAAGGGCATGAGACTGATACCAAGAGAGATTCCGATTGCAAAGCTGGGAATATACGCTTCTTTATATACAAAGATATTTATCTTTATTCACCCATACTGACTGCCAGAACAGTTGCATTCTGTCCAACACAATCTCATTTGTCCCCAGAATCTATGGCGCAATGAAGCTGTATAGACTAGTGGCGAATACTAGCCCACATGTAGCAAGCAGTTGGTGGTATTCCCGAGGATCACGGAGGTTTATTTGACATGGCGTCGCAAGAATCGGAGTCGCCATCTGTGCTTTGAACAACTGCAGTGACGGTTATACTTGTCGACATTACTCGACGGCTCCACAAGATCGGGCTACCGTGCAGTCAATCCGACATGAGGTTGCATTGTGTGGGCTCTACTGGGGAATCGATCTACGGAGGTCCCTGGCGTACTATGATTCTGTTTGGACAAGCGCAAGCGCGTTTAGGTGCCCGGTCGCAAGATCCGTATTTTCGGCAAATGTTTTGATACTGCTACTCAACAAATTTTCATAAAATCATGTGCGCCGGCTATTTTTGTGATGGGGTTGGTTGTATTATCCGCGGAACATGTTCAACTATCAGAAAAGGGCTCCATGAACATGTTAGAGTACCGCCAAGACACCTTACTATTCTGGCAGTGTCGCCTCTTGCTCCCGGGGTTCACCTCATATTCCTGATGTGCTGTCATAAATGGAGGAGCGTTGGTAAAGAATCGCTGTCGGCTGTATCACCGAACTTGAGTCGGTAGTTCCGGCGGCTAACCCACAACGGAAGCCTTTAACTAGACCAGACAGCTTCCTCATTGAGGCTTCGCAACTAATCGCCACTTATTTCGGTTTCTTCCACTGCTAATCCAAAGGGACCGCTAGTTCTAGAAAGGGAGGCCGTAGCTCTGTCAGCACCAGTCGTCTCATGCTGGGGGTCTGACTTGCTTCTCAATGGCGTTCCGGGAACTTCTCTGTCATTTAGTATCCACCAATAGACTGCCTCAAAGTCTCTTTCTGTAATGGTAGATGCGGCACCAAGCAGGCGGACCCGCAAAGCCTCACATCGTAATGTGTGTGCACCTCGAGTCAGCGCCGGAGCGAAACATGTCAACCATGAGTATCCCAAGATTCCTGCCTCCAATGAATACATGAGCTTCGAATAGCAGTTTATTGTCAACAAGGTCGGCCACAGTCCCTCAAAGTATGTGTCACCATGTCAATTCTTGCTTGCCTTGTCTTTTGTCAAACCTCCGCCTACTACCCCTTAGCGTCTCTTCCATGACTACTCGCGGCGGCCATGACTGTAGTGTGCACGGCCTTGACATGATGTCATAAGTCTCGCAATAGTTGACTTTTCCGTCGAGCACCACCGGTGTATAAGGCGCGCGCGGTTCCCGCAGGAAACTACCGTTGGCGCCCCCGATTAAGGTTGAGAACATGACGCGATTGACTATCTCGTTTCTTCGTGTATCAACCAATCTAATTCATCTTGATCGCTAAATAGCCTATAGCACAATACATTTGCCTATTGACATGTATACACTGATGTACTGCAGCCCACTATAGTATAGCACGCAATAGCCAGGGGCTTGTCAAATATTTTTACATTCCACTATAGATCCGCTTACTAGATCGTATATGGTGTGAAATAGCGACGGCTCCCTTTATACAAGAGCTGCAACAGCAGCTACTCCACCAACTGGCTGGTATAGTTTCGCACCAGAGGTTTTGTCAGAAGAAGACACGGTGCTTCCGTACGGAGAATCCGGGCTGACACTGTTTTTGGAAGATTTGGAAGCGCTCTTGAACTTGCCGAGAGTCTGATCTGCTGAAGGATTCACTGCGCCTACCAGCTGAACAGTAAAAGAAAATCGAATCAGTGTTGTTGACCGTGACTTGGAAGACAGTTCCCTAGAAACACATGTCATCTTTCGCCCAACATTCTGTTTATAAACCATTCAATAGGTCTATGCCTAGCAGTCAGCGAGATCCCACGGCTCTCTGTAAGGCCCGTGTCGGAACAAACTGGATGAGGGCTGGATGTCGATCTGCCAGCAACTATCCATTGTGATAATGGAATAAGAACGTCTTAAAGATTGCGAGCCCACAGATCTTACTATCCCGTTTTAGTTACAAGGAAATATTGCAGATCGAAATTATATCTTGTCCAAAACCAGGACTGGTCACAACTAGGCATTCGGCAGACGCACGTCTATGCAAATCACAAGAAATATGGACGTTTGCCAACGACATGGTCTCGATTGGTTCCGGGGAACAGCCCGATAAACAGTCATTTCAATTGTGGAATTTTATGTACCATGGCAAGAAGTAATTATCTATATACAGTGCTAAATAGTCAAAAATCTATTTGCAACATATCCCTATACAGGTTCGGTTTTATAATTAATACAGAAATATCACGTCTTCGTAATTATCTGGAATACCGCGCAACTACTATAAAAAACAAACGAAAATTACTCGCCCCGTAATATGGCGCACGCAAATGCACTAAAATCTGATCGCGACTGACAGGGCCAACAGAACAGCTACAGTCGACAATACGACTGAAGATTGAGGCCGGGCACTATCTGCAGTGACGACGCTTGGAGTTGGGGCGCCACAGCTTGGGCAAGCGTCACCGGATGAGTCGACATCGCTGTTTGAATGCGTCGCGGTTGCGTCGTTTGGTCTCGAAATGGAAGTTTCTGGCCGAGGTGAAGGTACTAATGTCTGGCTGCAGTCAGAGCATTCCTGTACTGAGAGACCCTGGGATCCGGTCTCCAGCTGCGTCTGGGCTGGAGTGGGCGAGTTGAGACCGGACTGATGGGATAAAGACGCCAATGGTGTTGGTGCTGCTTCGCAGTCCGCACAGTCACCAACAGTAACCGCGACTGACTTCGTGGTCAGAGGCACCACGGTCACGACTTGCGTAGGCAGTGTCGTGGGAGTGGTACAATCCATCGCTCCCTTGCCGCAAATAAAAGGAGGCAGTGTGTAGATTGCCGTTGTTCCAGCCGGCCTGGGAGTGCCGCCAAATCCGCCACCCAAATATGATGTTGCGTCCAGTACTATGATCGAGGTTGTTAGCTTGCCTAATGGGCAATTTGAAACAGTTGGCTCGCAGGATGTCACGGCTAATGTCGTAGTTACTGTAACCTTGGACGGGCGATCCGGTGCAGAGCTGGTACTGGAGTCTGGGGTTTCAGTCGCTGCTGATTTCGCAACAGTGAGAGAACTGTTTCGAGCCTGGGTCATGTATGAGCTTCGCCACACAGACGTCTCTGTATTGCTTGCTGGGGTGTTTGCAGAAGACATCTCTGTTGCGACTTGAGATGTGCTGCCCCTTAAGGAACCTGTAGCGAAAGTCGGCCTCTTTGAAGTTATCCTGCTCGGCAATGTAGCGGCGTCAACAATTGGTACGATTTGATTAGATACCGGGACCTTATTCGTGGCGTGGGATGACACCGTCGTCGAGTATGAGGTTGTCGGTGCTGCTGGTGACGGACTCGATTCTGTTGTCGAGGACAGATCGACTGATGATGTAACATGTCTGGTTGAGAGACTGCCCGAATGAGGGGGCAGTGTTTCCTCCGACAAGGATGTAGAGGCTCGAGAGGTTATAATCGAGCTTGTATGTATGACTGAACTGTGTTGAGTCTCAGATACCGTAATAGACGACGAGGATGGAGCAGTAGTTGTATTCGATGCACCCGTCTTGGGGAATGTAGAAGACTTTTCACCTTCAGACTTGGTAGATGATGGATATTTTGAGGACGCAGGCGTGGGGGTGAGGAGTGATGTGAACGAAGCAGTGGACAATGATGTAGGCAATGATGAAAGGGCAGACGAGGTCGCATTGACATCCTTTGTCGCAGTCGTTTGACTCTGTGGCGAAGCAGGAGAGGACTCGATGGAATATAAATATACTAGTGATGATGATGTAGGTGATGATAAACTAGAAGGTGAAGGGGACTTGATGTTCTCAATTGTGGTTGACTGGGTCCGCGACGTAGTGGACGGTGTGGTTGCATCCGTAGTCAGCTCCGTGGCAGATGTCGGAGTTGACGACGTGGTTGATGATGCAACTGATGATGTGGTCGGCTGTGTAGTTGAGGACGTGGTCGAGGACGTGGTTGATGATGTGATTAAGGACCTGGCCAAGGACGTACTAAAAGCCGCAGTAGAGGACAGATCTATTGAGACTGAGACAGACGCAGCCGTTGTAGAGGACGCGGCCAAAGATGTAGGCGACGAGAAACTCGAGGATGAAGTAATCCTGACGTCTCGTGTTGTAGTCGACTGAACCTGCGACGCCGTGGTTGACGTCCTGGCAGAAGTTACTTGAGAGCTGCATTCACCCACCAACGACGGAACGGCATCCGTTCCCTTGCCAATCGGGACGAGATGAGTCCCGCAATCAGCAGCACTAGCGAGGTAGACATTTCTGTTATCCATGTCGTAGACGGCATACGCGGACCTAAGAAACGTATCACCCAGCACGAAGAATGCTGTTTTGGGCGTGTTAGCCACGCAGTCCCATTGCCGTTGCCATAATTCGGGTCACTCACAGTCATTTGGCGACACTCCCAGCACACATATCCCGTGTTGAGGCTGTTTCCACAGAAAGTCGTCATATCGAACTTTGATTACGGTGTTTCCGAACTTGAAATTGACCGTGCCCGTGAGACTGGCCGCCGAGCAGTCCACAATATACTGGTTGGCATCATTTGGGTCCTGCCGGGCAGAGGGAAACGCCTTCAGAATCTCCGTAACCATAGATCGCGGCAGTTGTGTCAGCGTTGTGCCGCTGTCAAGCAGCGCGAGCAAGCCGTTGATTTGGTCGAATACCGGGATCTGAGACCCGTCCTCTCTAGTCACCGAGAGTCCATCAACGTAGATCCAGTACCTTGGTCCGAGTCAGCATAATAGTTCAGAAGCACTGCTCTTTTTTTCCGGTGAGCGACGTACCGGACACTGCCATCAGGCCCCGTGGCAATGGGTCGCTTTTCGAGAGCCCCTATGTACTTCTTGGTATCGATGCCGCCAAAGATGACCGCCCCGAGGGGGCTCTCGATAGGCCGCAAATCAAGGCTGAAGGCGCGGCTCTGTATATGATTTTGGCTTACTAGCGAGTCGAGCACATGGGGGTAAGGAGACTGCCAGCCCAACACCCAAGGGCCAGCGCCCAAGATAGCATATGCAACGACCGACGTGTCGTATGCCACGCCAAAGATTTGCTGGTTGATCTTTGCCCCTGTTGGCGTCGTGGCTTAGCGTGATTCGCCCTCTCAACACCCGGCGATATTTTGGTGGTCCTTACCTCCAACAGAGATGTAGTCATACATGTACTTGAACTTGGCATAGCCGGCACCATACGCGATTTGGCCGGTTCGGTTCGTGTCCACCAGTGTTGTTGACCCTGTGAATCGGGGGAGGCTCGCGCAGATTGCTGTCTCGGAGGTGTTTGAACAACTCGGATTGACCCATAGTTCCCACGATCCAGTATCAAAGTTTACGGGAACCGTCTGCCCAGGTGTTCCAATGACAAGGTCAATCGTATAGAAGAAACCCGTGCTCCGGCTCGTGAGATCGACGTTGTTTTGCCGGCGAAGGCGACGAAACGTGCCTGCCGGGGCTTCGGATACCGTGATCGGGAAACGGATAAGGCCGGGCTGCTGAATGACACGACGCTGATTACCATGCGCGGATGAAGATGTAGCCAACGGTAGCGCCGCTAGCAGCAGAAGAGCTTGAAGCATCTCTACCCTCTTTGCCAGAAGGTCCGTCTCTGGCAAACAATCAAAAACAAAGAGAATGAAAATCCCCGGCTCAAAGTGATAGGAACGCCAGTCACCAGCACTTATGCCTGAGGGCTCGGATCCCCGACTGCAACCATATTTCTCACTTTGAACCAAGCTGCCGTCGGCCGGGGCAATATACAGGGTCCGTCCGTGCAACCTGGTCATCGCCAAGTTTCTCCAAGCCCATCCATCCCGACCTGGCCGGGGTAGTTCTCCCCGCATCACCGAAATGCCAAGGCACCGTGATCCACGATGCGATGCAGTCTAGATCCTCTTAGACCAAGAGAACCTTGCGTGCCCGAATCATGTCCCTGTTATTTTTTCGTTTGACAGCTGAAGATATCCACGCGTAGTTACATCTACATACAGCTACATTGATATTGTGGTTCCAAGTGTCTACAATGGTGAGTAATTACCCAACGGTAATGTGCCGACTTTATGTCTAATTGGCAGCCACAGCCCGGCAAGGTTAGAAAGGCTTGGCAGTCCGGGCACACAGTGACCAACTATCGATAGTTGCAAAGTTTAGGAGGCTTGTGCGGGCCCAATGGGTGGCCTCGTGGCGTGGCTTTGACCCGTCTACCAAATTGTGTTCCTGAACTAGTGGCCAGGCGACGCGTGGATCGACTGCAAGGGAGACGTGATTGCAACGTCACAAGCAACCGCGGCTGGTCGGTGTAACGTACGATTGGGTAGTATATTAGAAGCCTGGAGTGCAGGGACAAGCGTTTTATATTTGAGTCGACGCTTGGAAGGAAACAAACTTTCTTTCCTTCTGTCCTTTTTCGAGATATAGCCGGACTCTTTAGCTACAGAAGAGGTCGTAAGTATTCGACCTCTTTGGGTTCAATCAACGCAGCCGGGTGGTCGAATACTTCTGTCCATAAACTGGTGGTTTAGCTCATTATGCTTCCGTTTTTGGACAACTAGTTATATCTTGGTAGTCCCGAATACACGTCTATCTGTGCGGCGATTCGCTAATGTTACCTTTTATTAGTAGCAGCTTCTTTTGTAGCCAACTACGTTCGCTCTTCCCCCTCACCACTATGTCTTGTTGCCAGAGCCTTTTCAGAAATTGTCATTATATCTTCAGGTTTCTAAATAAGTAATTCATATTACATATGCTAAAATAGCGAATGGGCAACTACCTACGGCTTATTCGTGTATCTTAAACCATGCTAGCCCCTGTGAAATACTCTTGCCGCTTCGTATTACCACGCCTACGAGCGACGGTTGCGGAAAATAGACAACTAGGCGTACTTTCCTTGTATCCAAACATAGAAACCCCTGCTGGAAGTCGGGCAGGGCCATTCACCTCACTAGGCGCGCTTCAGAGTAGCCCAAGTCTATTAGGCGTGGTATGTACCCGGCCTGCATGGATCCTGACAGGAATCCATATGTACTTGAAAATGCCATGCCCATCTTTTCTCTCGTCTAAAATTGCATATGCTAGCTTCGGAAGAGTCCACTGAACTTCTTTCCCACCTCCCAAGTCCATCTCAGTTGTCAACCCCGTATCCCAAGTGACATCCGACAGTTGAACTTCATCATGAGCCATGAGAGAAGCAGCAGCCTCGCTTGGTTCTATAGGTCCATCCTGCAAAACTGCACTCGTGTGCTGGACTTTGATCTCCCCGCGGCGACACCTTGTTGATAGTTTTCTTTAACTAAGACGTTGACAAGACGTTCAGTGACATTAGAAGTATTTCAGATTCTCGAGCTCTTGATCTGCTCGAGTTCGAAACCAACTTTTTCCTGTCTACTCTGATACGAGTAGACATAATACAGCAGGCTGGTCCTTCATCTATAAAAGTGAATTTGCTACATTAAAATTCGTATGTTTTCTACCTCCCTAGACTCAACGTCTCCACATTGGCACGCGGAGAATGATAATGCAACATCAGACTACGTCAGACCAGATCAGACCCGATGCTGCATTCACCAAAGCTCTTATTGTTGGGGTATTTAAGCTGGGGCGTAGGCTTATATTACGTCATATTAAAAATATAAAATATGTTACAGCTCTGCAAACTGTAAGAAATACAATACGAATAACCCTCTAAACCCCAGAACAAAGGTAGTAGTGCGTAGCAAAGTCATTGCCCGAAAACTTCACCGGGGTCACAGCATCTAATTGGGACAGCTTTCATAAAATAAGAGGGGCCTGATTTCCTACATGAAAAGTGGAATATTGAAACAGCATACTTGCCGTAATTTATTAGTAGTATAATAACAAATGTTGCCTCAAATAAACGTCTGGATCTTGAAAGTTACATAAACGATGTGGTAATTCGAGTTGGAGCTTCCATTGGGACCTTTTACTCCCCCTGCAAATGCTTTATTTGAGTTAAACTAGACCCTACTTATACTCTCAAATTTATAAGTGAATGTTCTTCTATAGAGGTAGTCCTAGGCCTCTTACACCGGTGTAATTAATCTCTACATTAACAGCAAATGTGACAAATTATGCGGCGGCACTTAATTGACCATCCGCGCGGCCGGGAAGCGGTCTCCAGATATTGCTTCGGAGTCAATACATTGCGTCTCGGCGTTGATTTTAGGAAGTTTTGTAGCCTCTTCCTAACACCAGACAAAGCTTAGCTAATTCATGCAGCAATGTGTCCTCTACATTGCTAGAATTTAAATAAATATATAAATACACTCATTTAATTGCGCTATTACTTCTGAGATTCGGCTTATTATCAAACCGCTAGTTCTATGAAACAGCATCTACTTTGGTTCAGAATACTAAATTATCTAAAGCAAAGCCTAATTATCAAGTCGGGGGAGAAAGGGAGGCAACAACCCTAATATCTTCGACAAAATCCCAAGAGCCTGCTATCCACGCATCGGCTCAGTTACGGCGCGGTCGCAAAATGATGGGCAGATGAAGAGCAAAAGTCACGCAGCCGAGCTAAACATTAGCGCTTAGTTAGCAGGAACGAGTCCAGTAAGTCGGACCCTTCCATAGCTATTAGTGAGCCAGAGCCATGTGGGTAACCAAGTCTATATCAGTAGAAAGCCATCCGACTGGTAAATAACACCGAAGATTATTAAGAGACACAGCAATACCTTACACGGCTGGGGTTTTGACGACTGATTCATTCATTGAGTTCTTGTTGAGGATGCCCACCGGTGAGTTTAACCACAATATAACTGTGAAGCGTTTTTTTGCTGCCTTCGTTGCTGCATCAGTTACTACATCTGATGTTCCCTTGATCAGTTGAGTGATCATGATGTCACACTGAGACAAACGTCGGGAGACGGGAGTAGACCCTCATCTTCAGCTTTAATATTGATGCTTTTAAACGCTTCCCTTTCTGATTTTTATATTTTCTAGTCAATTCCGCTTGAACAGCGGCTTGATAAATTAGCAGACAGAGCCGTCTGACTGGCATACAATGAAGCAAGACAAGCCATCCCAATATGTAGGCCTAGACGCCGGCTGCGTAGGCAGAAAGCAGTATCTGCAACAAAAGTCACAATTACCGCCCAACCCATAGTTAATTTTACCCCTTTTACCTAATTCTTGACAGATGGCCTCTTGGCAGCCGTTTGGTCTCCCGCCGCTCCTTCCATGATATTCTCGTCAAGGGGCAAGGCCTGCAGAGATCGTATCCGAATCTTGCCACTCCTAGTCCCCGACCCGTCCATTACCCTTCAGACTATCCTGCAGGTGAGCCGGTACCAAATTCGATTGAGACAAGTTAACCAAATCATTTTCACTGCCCTCATCAGCAATACGTGAAATGCTATTGTGCCTGTAAAAATTCCTCGATGCGGGAGATGACGATCCACAAGAATCCGGCTTGAATGTCTGAGGATACATGCGCATGAGTATGAGACGCAAGGCAGGCAGGCAAGTGCAAATAAACCCGACCGACACCTCAATCGTCGACCAAAAGACCACACTCCATTGATCCCAGGTTGGGTTGTACGAGTTGGCGAAATGGACCAGAGACTTGAGCCGAAGCATGGACACAATGGTAATACTTGTCGCGCAGTCAGTTCACCATGTCTTTGAGATCCAAAGTCTGACAAGGCAAGCACTTACATGGCGCCGGTTAAAAACATGATGGCCGCGGCGACTTTCTTTTTCCAATGCAGCCTGAGCCTCTTCAGCTGTGTTAGCGGCAGTGCAAACAGCCAGATATCTGCCACGACGCCAATAACGCCATTAGCCCATCCCGAAGCATTTATATCGATGCAGTGTCCTGTGGTTGAAGAATCGCCGTCGAACTTTTCCCAGTTGTACTCGACCGGCGTGCATTGTAGCACGGTTTTCAGGACAAAGGCCAGCCCGCAGGTGATGTGGAAAGCCACAGTCACCCACAGCAAGCGCCGAATTACAGTCCCCGGGAATATGCTGAGGTAAAACAGAGTCAGCGACACCTTGATGAGCGTGATCAATGTCAGGTATAAAATCTCCATGACGTAAAAGTAGTGGCCAAAGTCGAGCAACATGGGTATATCCAGTGTCCAGACGTCTTTCCCCAGCCCCGTCGGAGTCAGAAAGAATACCTGAATGACCACGCTGGGGATTCCGACAACGAGGGCGGCCAGGATTGTCCAGTCGTCCAGACCAAGTCTCTTGCTGGTGCTGAGGTACTTTTTGAAAAATATTCGCATGACGACTAGCCCGAAGGCCATGCTTCCCAGCAGAAAGTTGACGACTCGAAACTCGAGGCCTCTATCTCTGGTTGGTTCGTTGCATAGTGTCGATGTCAAGTTTCTCGAGACTACGTGTGCAGGATACCGTTAGTTGCAGTCTACAAGCAACTTTGGCATGCGAAAGGTAGAGGCGAGCACTTACAGAGCGCATCCGACAATGCACATGATTGTAACACGCACGCCCCCATGGCAGAACTGTATCCTCCATTGTGGCATACGCAAGTTACGTTGGCGACGTCGCATCTTGCGGCAATACATGACGACTGTCGAATGGTTGCATGTTAGCGACAATACCGTTCATTGATCGCGCCTACCCGAACAAAACATCTCGCGGAAGTTTGACAAGTCGTATAGCAATATTTCGGGAATGCGACTCACAGCACAAGCCGGCAGCTGCGTGACGTTGACAGCAGAAGCTGCGAGATGCACAATCGAACCAAACTCCATATGGGTGGAAGCCCATACTATCCGGGTACGGACCGGGAGTTATACAGTCGAATTTATTATCGTAGTTGTCGGCGTGTATCCTGCATGGCCGTCGTCGCCTAAATGCTCTTCATCATCGCCGAATGTTTGTATCCTGTCCTCAATCGCCTCACTAGCTGTGATGCCGTCGTCGAGGGTACGGTCACGAGAGCCGTCGAGATGCGCGACTTTTTCAACGGTTGGATGCTTGTATGGATCGAAAAACGTACATGAACTGCTGACGAATGGGACGTGGCATTGATTTCCAAGACAAAATCAGTAGCACGCAGGTCTCAGTCTTGTTTTATTCGGATGAAATACCTTGCCGGGTTAGAGTTCCATGTACATTAACTCGTTTACACAGCGCGACGGTACAGCGGGCCAAGAAGATGTCAGAATGGGTCACTTGTTACGGGTACAAATTACGTACGTATAATTAAATAAGGGTAAACCCTTAACTACGAGTGAATAACCTTAATAATAAGCGTACTTATAAAAAGAGAGTATATAATTCTCTCTTTTATAATTAAATATAAACTTATATATATATATTATTATTATAATTAATACTCTTTAAAGTATAATAATTATAAGCTTAAGAGAACTTTAAATTTCTTATAACTTTTACTTAAGAAAATTAAGTATTTAAGGTATTATTTTAAT